CCCGGCTCGGAACTGCCAAAGTGAATAGCTGAGAAAGAATGGAAAATTTTCTGTAGCCCTATCTGCAAGTCACACTGATGCTCAGTAACTTTTCGTGAATCCCAGAAGATAACTTACTCATCAGAACTCCTAGAAAGAACATAGCTAGCACCAGAAATCCAACCGTGTTGGACGAGCTAGAACAGCGCTTCACTGGGAACACCATTGTCGGTCGAGATTTGAATGTGTACTGACTGAAACTAAATCGATCTACTCGCGCGGAATAGGCGCCGCCGCGACCACGCTCTCATGAACATGAGCTGTTTGTGTTGACCCTCGACAACTCTTCTCGAAGACTCTAAAGAGCCGACAAGAGTATCAATAACATTAGGCGATTGCTAGGAAACCGCAGATCAACGACTGGTCATAGCCATGGCCTGGGAGCACCTAAAGCTTCGAGCATTGAAAGAGTCAATTTACAGTTTTTTTGTTTGTGTATTTACTGCGCGAAACACGTAAACACTTCATGTTCTGAGCAGGATCCCAAGATCCTGCCCAACCGATGATCCTGCGGTGTACATACGGCCTCCCGGGGCACCGCAGCGTCCGAGCGCAGCAGCGCACACCTCGACTCCGTCCTCGATTGGCAGATCCAAATGCCATCGCCGCGTACACACGAATACGAGTTCATATCCAGTATGATCTCGCCGTGCCTCATGAGTGAGAACGGACGACCGTCATACGATCCAGTCCCTAAATACCGAAGAGACATTCCCGAATTAGACCATATTCTCTCTCGACGAGTTTGAAGTATGACAAGCGGCAAGATATTAAGATAGTTGGGAACTTAAGAAATACCTCTCAAAATGCTCGCAAGCAGAGCGAGTGCTAGCAACAGCAGCACAACGTACTTCACGGCCGCCCACACTAGGGGGCCGAACGCGTGCTCAACCAACCGAGACAGCAGGCTCGATCCTTCTGAGCTTGAATCCTTGGAACTCGTGTCCGACTCGCTCGGAGCTAGATTTGGAGCCGAGGGGACTTCCGAAGTCATCGTGGTGACTAGCTGATGTTTCACCGGAGTCGACTGAGTAGATTTCGCCATTGTCTGACAAACTTTCTCGAAACAGCAGAGACTGAAATCAACTCTGGTCGAGAACCCCCTCTTTAAATAGCCGAGCCCCGAGAGGGCAAATTAGAGAGTAAGAAGCGACAGAAATTATCGCGAATTTTCGATCTCGAAGTCGTTGCCGAACGACTGACATATCTCATGACAATCTTGACAAAAATATGGTAAGCTCAGATTCTGAGCAAGTGACATCGAGGTGCAAATCGTCTCCAGATAACAGGAAATAGTAGCAATCAGAGCGTCTCTACTGTGCCTCAAATGTCCCTTATCTCAAGCGCTCGACAAATCTGTCGAATCTACGAGTCTCTGACTCGAGTCTGGCTGACTCGTCGGAAATAACTCGAAATTCTCATCGCATGCGAAACAGCGATTTATTCCAAAAGAGAATGAAGTCAGAGCGAACCCCTGCGAAAGGTTACACGGCCAATGGGGGAGAATGATGAATATTGTCCGTTTCACCTTCCGCTCTAGATACTGAAGACCTCAGTCTGTAACGGTCACTGACCCGTCACCACTTAACCCGTTCACAGTGTTTTCAGCATGACCCATATTCGGATGCTCTTCTGTGTTCAACCCTTTCCTGTGACTCGCTATATATAAGGACAATAAACCTCAGCCAGAAAAGGGGGAGCCCAAGACTGACTCTAGCATTCCGTGTGATCATTCTAGCCGAGGTATCAACGAGATACGTATATCTCTTCAGAACGAAGTCCACTGGGAATAAGGAGACTTCATCTTCTTTTCACAAGAGATGAGCCAATGAAACGTCAACAATTCAGGGAGTCCCAAATCGACAGTCTTCCGTGCGATGTAGATTTCCCGCTATGTTCTACTTATGCCGGATTTTGACAGCTCGACGCTCTATCAGCTGCCAGCCGCATCTCTCCTCCCGAGAGTCGGAATCGAGTGAGATCGAAGTCTCGCCACTTTTCGGGGAGTGTTCCAAAACCCGTTCTGATTTTGTTTCTGGTTTTCGAATCGCTGTCATGGCCCGCACGAAGTTGCGGTTCTACTCATAGATAGCCAGTGTATTCTGTCTGTGGAATCGGAGTGTCATCGATTGAGCAGTTCAGCCTAAGCTTGAGTATCGAGTATCTATTCCGAGTGCGAAACGAAGATCAATCCCGATACGAGGAAGGATGAGTCACAGATGAGGGCCTCCATCAGGTATACTCGTTTATTTCTACAAGGCTCACCGGAAAATTGACAAGTCTCGAAGGAGTACTCTCACGAGCTCACCTTCGTACAAACGACGCACTGTGCTTGGTCGGAACTTTTCCCGAACCAGTTCCAAACCCAGCTTTTGGGCTTATTGGTGTATGACGATCGGTTCATTCTTGAAATGATGGATTCTCGGAAAAGTTTACAGTTCTGTGACGACCACAAATCAGTCTAATCATACCACGATCCTCAGTATCAGCCTGAGTCGCGTACGTGCATGTTTATACGTCGATCGGACCTCCATTCCGGAGGACAGAGTACCCCCATCCGGGATACCTGTCTCTCTGGAACTCGCGCGGCTCGACGGATTATCTACGGATGCGAGACCATCTGAAGAGGGCACTTGCTCCCGAGAGAGCCCTTCTCCAATGAGAACGGGCATTGAAACATCAAACTGATAATTCTGGAACCGTTCTATCGCCCCCCGCTGGAATTTAGCGGCATCTACACTGCGGTTCCAGAACCGCATTTCTGGTGCGGTTCCCGGAACCGCTGCAAAGTCGGGGGCCGCCCCCGACTAGGCTTTGCATATTCGTATTCGCGTATTCGTATTGAGTGGGGCATATTCGTATTCGTGAGTACGAATACGAATATTTTCCTTTTTTATGAATACGAATACGAGTACGAATATATTCGTATTCATAGAATATTTGTTAATACGCCTATATTCATACGGAAATCACAATTTGATGACGCCACGGGGCCGAGCCAGGAGGCTGATTGGGGCTTTTCGGCCAAGCTGAGCACGATTTCAGGGTCAGGGCCCTCTTCTTCCGTCTATTGGTGGCGAATTCGCATGAGCAGATAAATTCGTACTCATAGGAAAAACTTTGTTCGATGGCGCTACGAACACGAGCGGGGCTTGCTCAGTGAATCTTCAGCACAGGATTCTGCAACCGAAGTACTCGGTAGAGACCGCCATCCTTGTTTACCAGAAACTCCCTAAGGGAACACAAGAGGCTTGATCTTTGTTGAGGAAAGGAAAGAAGTTCATTATTTATTTATTGCACATTCCTCAGATCTTCTCATAAATCCAGAGGTTCATTGATGCGGAGCACTACGCGCTGCTCGAACCTCTCGTCCCTCAGGCGATTGCTTTTCGGCGAGTTGGTCATCGTCGCATACGAGAAAAGCCGTTCTACCGCGGCGCTGGAGGACGGTGCCGTGTTGAACTGCCTGAAGACGCGGTCTATCGGGGGATAGTCTCGCAGCATCGCCGGGTTTGTCTGCGGGTCGTTCAGATATTGCATCATCATT